GGTTATTCTTTTCTAGGGAAGGCCACCATACGATGTTTCCGTAGAGGAGAATGAGCCTGACTATTGCAGTGTATAGCCAGTGAACTATCAAGGGGGAGAAACCCTACTTCCTTCCTATGTCTTTTTTACAAGCGAAGAGAGCTATGGTGCGTGTGCGATCTAGGATGTTGTCTGTCCAAAGGAGCTTTTTGTCAGGGATGACACCTATGCGCGTTTGGTATAATTTTCAGAGAACTAGACTTGGGACCTTATACTTCCTTTTAAAAAGAACTAGTTTGGTCTCGAGGGAATTCGACATGTGCTGCAATATTGATATTGACGGACTCGGAAATTTTCTTCCTAAGCAAAAACAAAAAGAAATCATTTCTCTGATCAGCGCTCGTGTCGACCAGACTTAGTTTTTCGCTATGTCTTCTAATTCGTGTGCGGAGTGAAAAGCTGAAGGCTTTGAGGTGGTTCGTTGTGCAGCTCTTTGTCGCTGCAAGTTCCACACCGCTTGCGTTGATGTGCCGGAAGATGCAATTAAACTTTAAACAACCATGCCCAATCTTATGTGGCAGTGCGACAGTTGCGATGTGAGCAATTACTCGCATTCCAAAACAGATGAAATTATGAAAGAAATTTCTAAAAGCGTTCCCGTAGTCTACTATGGCAAGCTTAAGAACCAATCATCGAAGGGTGGATAAACCTCTTATCATAGCGCCAGTTGCATCAACATCCAAACAAGTTAACCCTTCTTCCGACCACGATCCCGTTATATCAACGAAAGTTGTGGAAATGAAGCGAAACAATAATCGCAAGAACAACAACAAAGTTTGACTCCTTCTTGTGTTTTATTCGAAGCTCTACCAAGCAAACGTTTTCTGCACATAGGTAAATTTCCAGTTAACACACAACCAGTGGTGCTGTGTAAATATGTTGCGGACAAGTTGAGCGTTAAGGAAAATTTAAATATTTGCAATTCTCTAACTAAAACCAAGGGAGAAAGCTATAGTCGAGTACCTTGACTATCAGATACCCGTTACTCAGCTAATGGGACGAATGGGAAATGGAGATATGCAAGCAGCAAAGCGAGATTGAAATGCGCCACCTACCTGTGATCTCAATATGTGGTTATGTGGGCGGTAGGCAGGTTTAAGCATTATGCACGTTAGAGTGGGCGTGGCAAACTTTTTTTGGATCAATCGATAGGTATTGACGAGACAGATACATTTCAGTTAAAATTTGGTATTTAGCATGAAAATTGAGGGCGCCACAGGTTAGGTCGGTTTGTCGGCGTTATAGTGGGCGTGGCATATTTGCGTAACAAACTTGCGTACAAGGCTACGGAATCTAAATCTGAGATCCCATTTCTCAATCTTTGATAGATTTCGAGATATCCGCGTTCATATTTACGATTTTTTTAAGTTTGTGGGCGGTTTATGTAGTTTTAAGTGAGTCTCTGACATAGACGTCACTATCGGTCTGTTCTTGGATCCTACTGCTCTTCGTTTCGGTTTACTGCCCTATTCACAACAACAACATCAGCGGTCGGCTTTTTTCCCGGCTACGCATTTATTTTCTGGACCAGATGTCATAAATCTCAGTTTTGACTTAAGAGAAACAGTTAATCGCGAGCTGCTTTAGATTCTAATGTTTCTTTTACAATAGTTACTCTCCCATACTGCGGCCTCTCTGAATCATTCTGCGCTCCTGCATTCGCCGTTTGCCTAAAATCAACATCGTATGCTGCTATCTTCGGACTCTGATACTAATGAGCTCTGCGCGTTTCTGGGGATAGCGCTCTCTTATATGAGCAGTCGGATACTCTCTTCACTGTGCTCTTTACCGCCTCTCTCTACTGATGCAATTTCTTCTACCCTCTTTGGATGGCCCTCACAAAACAGGCATGCGCCCGTAAGAAAATCATTTACATATTCCCAATTCGACTGCACTATTATTCCTCGGAACGATGATCTTAACCTGCCTTTAAAAATACGTATGGATACGTTGCGCAAGGTACTTAATAGTACTTATGATCTTACAAGGCCTACATCTAATTTGGATGTTGAGAATTTCTCTACAACAATATGCGCTGACTGGCAACCTCCTAGGGGCTTGTCCGCAGTAAATTCAATCTTTCAGGAAATAATGGCCTGAAAATATACTTTCAAAGTATAACCAGCATGCGAACCAAAACGCAATCTGTATTTATGAATTCTTCAAACAGTGATTATGACATTATTATACTGGTTAAAACTTTGCTAAATTCTAACTTTAATTCGATTGAATTCTTCGATCCTAAATTATTTCAAGTATTTTTGTAAAGATAGAGATTTTGGAAGAATGCAGTGCGAGACAGGAGGTGGTGTCATCGGGCTGTTAACCGTAAATTCGGTTGCACTGCAATTCGACTGAAGTTATTGTCATTAATGACTGTTTTAATATGGGCCTCACCCAAATTAATAATATTTTCAGTGATTTGCATAAGCTTCTTGATTAAGTCTTCATTATTTCTATTGTTCATTCTAACGTAACTCTTGCTGAAAACACCATTAATAATTAGGTTGTGCATCACAAACCCTTCTGCTTAATCACTGAAGTTTACAGCTATTTGCCATTTATTGATTCTAATCCTAAATACGTATTTGATCCCTTGAATTGGGGTGCCTTGCTATCAAACTCTTGAATTGAAACTAATTATAAAACCTTTCTTTCAACGATTAGAAATACTCTTGACAGCATAGTCCGTTCCAAGGTAAGGGTTTCCTACATGCTTTCTTGGTATAGTAAAGGACTGCAAAAATACAAAAACCTTAGGAACAAATACTACAAAAAATATTCTAAAACACATAACCCAGCCGATGGTGAAAGAGTCAGGCAGCACAAACATGAGTTGCAGTTTCTTAATAAATTTCTATATAACCAATACATTTGTGAAGTTGAGCATAGTTTAAAGGCCAACTCCAAAGCGCTTTGGCGCTTTGTTAACTCGAAACAAGGAAGAACGCTATAGTCGAGTACCTCGACTATCAGATACCCGTTACTCAGCTAAAGGGACCAAAGGGAAATGGAGATATGCAAGCAGCAAATCGAGATTTAAATACGCCACGGGGGTAGACAGATTTAAGCGTTATGGGCGTTAGAGTGGTGTAACGAACTGATTCTTATGGTCTGCTCGCTACGAGATTCGTGCGGCTAGCTCAGGATATTGTGTGTTCGTCCCACCAAATTTATATTAACGTGACCGCCCAGTAGCTCAGTGAGAAAGCACAGAATTCATGGGTTCGTATTGGGTTTATTGCGGGTATATTATTACAAGTGTCTTAGTCGCTTGGTTGGCCTCGACTAGTTGCTTGTGACCTTCGGTGCTTCCGACGGTCCTGATTGACTCGACGACCTCTCGCCTTGATGACTCGGTGCTCCAGTCCTGTAGCTCCCCGAAGATACTCGCAGCTCCCTGAAGATCCTCGCCGCTCCCTGAAGATCCTCGCAACTCCCTGAAGACGCTCGCTCGCTGTTCGCTTCTCACGCGTGACTTGGTGACTGCTGGTACCGACTCGGACTCGCGAGGGGTATCGGCAGTACGGCCTTAGGGAAGCGTCGCCGTTCTCAGACTAGAGTGAACAGAAGCTGCGCTCTCCAGGATCGCTCCTTTCGATACACCGCCGCCTGTCCCTTGCTCTGTCCCGGATGGTCCCACTGGACCATCGCGCGGACAGTCCGCGCGGACAGTCAAGGCGGAACGCCAGGAAGCTGCCTTGCGCCTCACTTCGCTTCCACGCCTAGTGTAAACGAACGTTCCACCCTAGCCTCACCCTTTTGCTTTTTGTCCGGGTCGTTTACGCGTGGCTTTTGGTACTCGGGGTTCGGGCACGCCGCTCCGGGACCTCGCAAGTCGAATCCGTAGGGCTCTCCTGGACAATCCCACTCGAGACCATACCGATCGACCGCTCTCCCTTCTGGCTTGTTATACTCTTTCCAGGCGTAACGCCAGGACTTTGTGGACAGGGTTAATCGACCGCCATGACCTAGCCGTGTGATGCCCTCTGGATCTCAGCTACCTGCGTCTCAATTCGGAGATTCCTGGTATCCCAATCCCGAACGTCTCGACGTAGCAATCTCGCTCCTCGAAGGCTCCCACGGCGCTGCTTCTCTGGCGACTCGACTTGCTGTTGTTCCCTTGTAGATTATCTGGTTGTTTGATTGTTCACTTTGGTATCTGAGTGATCTTGACGGTTTGACTCCTTGTGATCGACTGATCCAGCTGCCAGCGCTCTGCGGCCTTATATAGGGCCTCCGGGAAGCGTTATTTCTGCTTATCCCAGCCTTCGAGTCCTTGTGATTCCCGCGGCGCTCCCTCGTTGCTCCCTCGATGCTCCCTCGACGCTCTTAACTCCGTTGAGTTCCTACAGCGCTGGTCATCCTCCTCGTAGCAACTTGAATCTCCCGCGCCGATATTCTCCCTGACTCCACTGGGACACCGATACTCGTGGGTTATCGATCCCCAGCTCGCTACTCATTGCTGCGTTCTACTCCTTTTATTGGTTCCTCCGCCTGGTCACACCATTCGTGCGTGCTCGATGTTTATTCGTTTATCGATACCGACGGTGCGGCGTTGCCACCTGTTCGTTGCGATATTTCCACCTTGGCCGATTTTTTTCCATCTTCGTGTGCCCATCGATCGCACTATCGTCCAGTGCCAATCAAACGCCTATCAAAGCGCCCCCTTCCCTTGCTCATAGTGATTTTGCAACTTTCTAGGTAAGTTTTCGCATTTCCTCACTCCTTTCTAATTTCTCTCTCCACACGACCTCTCTCGCCTCTCGTCTCTCTCTCTCGCCCTTCAATCGTCCTCCGCCGGCTGAGCCTGGCTTCACGCTGGCAACACTCGAGAGCTGGTGCGGAGAGGACTTCGCATTTGCTTCGCTGCAGGTGATTATTTTGGTGTTGTTTGGCTGCTTCCTGTATTAACCCAGTATGAATTTCAGGATGCTGGAGCTGCCATGTATGCCCCTCACTTCTGGCCCCTGTTTCAGCTTTTCCGAGTGCAATATCTCCACGTTCATTTTGACCTTTTTGATGTCAGCGGCGCTCAGGTTCACGCATAGGCTGCGCACCAGATCTTCGACGAACTGGGGAAAGTGCTCCGATTCCCGAAACTGAGCCACCTTCCAGCTGTTCGTGGTGCCGAACTCCTTGAACTCCTCCTTGCTTTCCGGATTGAAGGCATCGAAGCCGCCGCTCGTACTCGTCACGCCGAAGGCGTCTTGGACGTGTTTGAGGTCTGAGGCCTCCTGGATCTTTTGCAGGCGCAGCTTCTCGGCCAGTTTATCCTCGGGTGATAGGTTGGCCAGTCGTTCCGCCTCCGCTTCCTCCTCCAGCCTTGCTTGCTGCTCCATTTTGGCTTTTAGTGCTTTGCTTGGCTTGGTTTTGTCTGGGGCTTCTGTTTTCGTGGGCTTCTCCTCGTCCTTCTAGTAAGAAGTAGTAGTAGTAGTAACCCAGATCTACGGTACAGCTCTCTGCTCTGTGCCGTCTTCCCCCTTCCTTCGGCAGACTTTTGATGCGTGTTTTTTCCTTCCTCCAATCAGTCCCAATCAAGACCTTAGACGCTCTGGTTCGCTCCCTTTGTGTTCTCCTGATGTCCTTTATGTGTTTCATTGCGCCTTTGTAGATGCCCTGTAGTATCCTTGGAGTCGGTTTGTAGTATCCCTTTCGAATCCTTGGAGGTATCCTTGGAATTTGTTCGTAGTATCCTTTGGGAATCCTTGCAGGTATCCTTGGACTCTTTTCGTAGTATCCTTTGGGCATCCTTGGAGGTATCCTCGGAATTCTTTCGTAGTACCCTTTGGGCATCCTTAGACGTATCCTTGGACTCCTTTCGTAGTATCCTTTGGGCATCCTTGGGGGTATCCTTGGGATCCTTTCGTAGTATCCTTTGGTAATCCTTGGAGGTATCTTTGGACTCCTTCCGTAGTAACCTTTGGGCATCCTTGGGGTATCCTTGGACTTTCAATGTTGTTTTGCGTCTGTTGTGTTTGTTTGCTGTGGCCGCTCGCTTGTGTTTTCCGTTTGTTGCTGTTTCAGCTCGCTTACGTGGATGGTCCGCTCTTTCTTTGTGTTTATGTGTCGTATCTTGCAGATTACTGGTGACGCAAAACCTATGACTTGGTAAGGTCCGTCGTATCTTGGGGCCAATTTTGCTGCGAACCCCTCCGCCGCTTTTGATAAGTGGTGTTCCTTGGCCCACACGACATCACCCACCTCTGGCGTCCATTGCCTCCTCCTTAGGTTATAATGCCTAGCCTGGTCCTGGGATGCTTTCTCCAGGTTCCGCCTTAAAATCTCGAAGATTTCCCTGAGTTTGTTTGCTTTCTCTTCCGGGGTCTCTGTCGGTCGTCCGGTCCCTACGGTATCTCTGTCGTATAGGGCGCTCGGTAGTCTTGGTTCTGTGCCTTGGGTAATGAACGACGGTGTGTAACCTGTGGATTCTGAAACGCTCGTGTTTACTGCCAGCATGATTTCTGGCCATTTTTCGTCCCAGTCTCTTTGGTTCTGCCCTGCGAACTGCGCTATCATTGTTTTCACCGTCCTATTGGCTCTCTCAGTCGGGTTCTCCTGTGGGGTGTATGGAGCTGTGAACTGTTGCTTGGCTCCCATTTCGGCCAGGAAACTCTTGAAAGTTTTGCTGGTAAACTGGACTCCGTTGTCCGTTATGACTATTTTGGGGACCCCATACCTCACGATTATGCGTTCTTTAAAAGCTTTCTTTCGGGACTCGGCCGTCGCGCTTCGCAGCGGCACGAACTCAGTCCACTTGGAGAACCTGTCTATCAATACCAGCAGCATTTGGTTGCCGTGCTTCGAACGCGGCAGGGGTCCGACGAAGTCCGCACATACCGTAGCCCATGGTTCCTCTGGCACCTGCGTAAGCATTTTCCCAGCCATTTTCATCTGATTCGGCTTGAATCTCATGCATGTCTCGCATCCTCGCACGTGGGCTCGGGCGTCTCTGTGCATTCCTGGCCAGTAGTACCGGGCTGCCAGACGTGCTATTGTCTTTCGAATTCCTACATGGCCAGCCGCCGGTGAGTCGTGGTTCTCCTTCAGCACCGTTTCCCGTAGAGCTTTCGGGACGCACATTTTCCATGTTGCAACATCTTCGCTGCCCGCTCTATGAGGTATATTCCTGTACAGGGTGTTACCCTCCATCACGTAGTCCGGAGCATTTCCAGAGTCCAGCTGCATGCTGCAGAAGCTTCCGCCGCCGACGTCTCCTTGATCCCTCGAAGCGTTTCCGGCAGTGGCTGCCTTGACAAAGCGTCTGCCACCACGTTGAGTTGTCCTTTCCTGAAGGGCTTTCTATGCTGTTGAGCCACTTCAGTGCCATGTGGTCGGTTACTACTTTAAAGCGGTAAACTTCCAGATACGGCTTGATTGCCCAGACGATTGCCAAGCACTCCTTCTCGGTCGTTGAGTAATTCTTCTCAGCGCCGTTGAGCGTTCGGCTTGAGTAAGAGATTACCTTTTCGCCTCGTTCAGTTTCCTGGGTCAAGATTGCCCCGATGCCGCAGTCGCTTGCGTCAGTTTGCAAGATGAATGGTTTGTCGAAGTCCGGGCATGCCAGTACGGGGTCTGCGACGAGTCTTCGAACGCCGTCTGATGTTCCTGTGTCCACACCCACTTATTGCCCTTGCGTAGCAGATCGTTGAGAGGTTTGACTATTTTTGCGAAGTCAGGTACAAACCGGTGGTACCATGATGCTACGCCCAGGTACTGTCGGAGCTCTCTTACTGTCGATGGTGGTTCTAGTTCGGCGATGGCTGCTACCTTTTCCGGATCCGTGCCTATTCCTTCGCTAGTCACTCGATGACCGAGATATAACAGCTCTTTCTTGAAAAATTGGCACTTCTCCGGGTTTAACCTCAGATTTGCCTCCTTTAGTCGTCGGAACACTTCCTTTAGGTTGGCCTTGTGTTCTTCCAGCGAGCGCCCGTTTACTATGATGTCGTCCTGGTAAGCAAATGCGTGCGGCGACATTTCGGGGCCGATCACCCGGTCCAGCACCCGTTGAAAAGTCGCAGACGCCGAATGGAGTCCGAATGGCATTACTCTCCATTGGAATAAACCTTTTCCCGGCACTGTAAACGCCGTATACTGCCTGCTGTCTGCTTTCAGTGGGATGTGCCAGTACCCATCCTTTAGGTCCAAGCTGCTGATGTACCGTGCTTCCCTCAGTTGGTCGAGAATATAATTTATTCGGGGCATCGGGTAGGCATCCTTTATAGACTTGGCGTTGATTTGCCTAAAGTCTCCATTTCTCCATAGTCTCCATTTGCCCGTCTTTTTTTTAACCATCATGATGGGGGAACTGTATGGGATTGTTGAGTGTTCTACGTATCCCATTTGGAGAAGCGCGTCCACCTTCGCATTGATCACCCCTTGAACTTTCGGATTCTTGGGGTAGTATCGCTGCTTTATTGGTTTGTCGTCTTTCATCGTGATCTGATGCTCTGCCATGTTTGACGCTCCCTTCATGCTGCTGAAACTCGCTAGCTTGCCCGTTGTACGACTGCCACCGATAGCTTCTCCTCGAGCCATCCCTTGTGACGATTCCTGGCCGGTATTATCACTTCGTGTCCAGCGCACTTAATCTCGGTACCGACTTGTGATAGAAAGTTCCATCCCAACACCAATGAATCCACTACCCCTGGTAGTATCAGCAGGCTCATGCTCAGTCGCTTGTTCCCGAACGCGATTTCCACCTCCAGCTGCTCATCGATTCCGCCACATCTTCCGTCTGCCAACCTAACTTGCCGTCATATCCTCGTAATCTTTCCGAGGGCAGCCAGGTCGTCCGCCAGCTCTTTGCTTATAAAGCTTGCTGTTGCCCCGGTGTCGATTGTGGCCTTGTATGTGCCCCCACCAATCGTCACCGCTGCGGACAACTGCTGCTCCTCCTCGATCAGCTTTCCTGTTAGTTTGAAGAGGTAGCATCTTGCGACCCCCGCTCGCCTCTCTGCGGCTGAGATCGCTGGGCATTTCCCGCCTGCTGGCAGCATTCGACGCTCCTGACGCCTACTCTCCCGCCCACCCAGCAGAACAACAGGCGTTGGTGCCGACATCCCCGCGCCCAGTGTCCATGACCGCCAAACTTTCGGCAGGCCTCCTGGGGGTCTGTGATGTGTGTCGTTTCACGAGGACTTTGTGTTGTACTTGGTGGCCTCCAAACATTGTTTGCTGGCTGCATCTGTTGCTGTTGTGGTGGTGTCCATTGGCCTTCGGGTGGTGCTCCTGTTGCCTGCTGCCGTGGTACTCGGTTAGGTGGCGACCATTGGTCGTTTCCCCGTGTCTACTGGATTCCTGTCTCTTCGCATCTTCTGCATGTTACCTGCGCTGGCGATGCCGACTTGTTCTTAGAGAATTTGTTTTCCTGCGCGAACGCTTCCCGCTCCTTTTCGAGTTCTTCATACTCGTCTGCTAATATCATCAGCGTGTCCAGGTCCGACACTTTGTATGCCCTGAACGACTCGCTGTAGCCTTGCTTCCTTTGCCGGACCTGGTCCGCCAGCCTGGTGAAGAAATCTCTTGGCAGGAAGTATGTGTGGAAATTTTCAATGAATTCTACCCAAGTTCTCCACTGCTTATTGTTGGCGATGAACCATTTCAAAGCCCTTCCTTTTAGCAACTCCAGCATCGCTCGAGGGATCATATCAAGCTCCAAACCGTACGTGTTGGCGGACCATTCTACCTGCTCCAGGAACTCGAATGGTTTTTCCGCCCCGTCGAACCTGAACGACCATTCGCGGACCTGCTTAGCGACCTTTGCATAGTCCGCCTGGCTTGGTCTCGGGGTCAGCGCTGCTGCTTTCTTTTCTTGGCTTGATTCTCTCCTGTTGGCCTCTTTTTGCATGTTGTCAATGCTCAGGCTTGCCACCAGGTTGTCCCCTTCAGCGTTCGTTAACGTAATGCTTGGGCCGGCTCTCTCCAGCTCGGCCCAGATGTCGACGAGTTGTGGATCGTTCTCTGTTTCGGAGTAGTATTCCGATAGCGCCTTCCTCATGTCGTCTAGCCTGCCCTCCAGGGCGACGTTGAGCCTCTGTGCGACATGGGCGAAGTCTTCCTTCTTGAGGCGGTAAATCCACTTCTTTCCCATTTTTACTGTGCTGTTCTCACTGTTGGTACAATCACGTTGGGCGCCAGATGTAACGAACTGATTCTTATGGTCTGCTCGCTACGAGATTCGTGCGGCTAGCTCAGGATATTGTGTGTTCGTCCCACCAAATTTATATTAACGTGACCGCCCAGTAGCTCAGTGAGAAAACACAGAATTCATGGGTTCGTATTGGGTTTATTGCGGGTATATTATTACAAGTCTCTTAGTCGCTTGGTTGGCCTTGACTCGTTGCTTGTGACCTTCGGTGCTTCCGACGGTCCTGATTGACTCGACGACCTCTCGCCTTGATGACTCGGT